GTCATTGTAAATCGATAATTCCTTCGTAGCAAATCCATTTTGTACTAAGACACATAGGCTTCATAAAATATACGATGATTAAAATTTGGACAACCGTAAAACTGTTTCGACAATGACCCTAAATTTCAAAGAAAAAGTTGGAACAGCCAATATTTTATTCACAGAGAATTATACGCACTTTTCGCTGACCTTACGGTATTAAAAGCTCAGTTATAATGTTTGGTATAAATTCAGTGTGCCACCGTACTCTACCATAAAGAAAGCCAAAACCAACGAATTCTACGAAAAGCGACGGACTCCGCCGCCACCAGATTCACGGAGGATTGCATCGCGGCCCTGCTCTCGCTGCCTAGTAGAGGGGTTAGCGTTTAAGCAAGCCATGACTACTAGGTATTTGAGCACCTGTAGTGCCAAATGCATCTCGGATTATTTTGCTCCCTAGAGCCACCTCCTGCTCATCAAGAACGACGTTTCTGGAGTTGGCGTTCCTATGCTACCGCATAAATTCGTCAGAGAAATACGCAGTGAAATTGGGTCTTGGAGGAGTCATTCGTTTTTCAACATATTCGGACACACAGACAGTTTATGATGTTAAGTTTGACAGAAAAATTTAATATACAGTTGAAGACAGCTTAATTTTGTAAAACTGAACGAACAGATAATCCAGAAAGGTAAGAGAAACAGATACTCTTTGAATAATTAGACATACTCGCAAGCGCGCCAACGCTATAGTAGAGTTTATTGATTTGCAAGTAACTCAATAGCGTATATAACCACAAAACCGTTTATGCACACTTAGATCTGAATCGTCGAATCCAACGATTTGAGCTGAAACGTCTGTGTTAACATTTCAACAAATAAAATTTATGAAATTTCACCTATATTATGTACCTGCCTGATGTCAAAATAAATTGACGGCACTGCTATATGGCGCTCCGCCAACAAACTGCAATGGAGCGACCGTCATAAGTGCAATTAGCGGCGGAAAGTCGTGTGGCCACGCTGGATAGAGTGGATGGAGTCCGATTGCACAATGACGTCGAATACTCTTGCTATAATAAGTTTTCATAACGATATTCTGCAGTTTCGTGACATGTATATGTTAACGTTTCAATCATTCATTCGTAATAGTTTTCATTCAGTCAGATGACCGTCGTTGCTTTTGCATATCCTCGTCATTTTATGGCGCGATATGCCTATTCTTTTACCTAAGTGTTACGACGCTGCGGTCCGTGGATAGCCGTCAGTGACGTGCACTGAATGCCGTGGAGCAGTTGGATTTCTGGATGACGGACACCATCTTGCATCATACAGTGGAGTATCATATCTGCAGTAGATTTATATCGTAAATATTCATGTTCTTTGCATTTATTTAATCGGTTGGCCACTGCGCTTCTTGGGTCGTTTATTGTTTTGTTTATGATATTCATCTTCTGTTTAAATTTTTATACATAGTACTAACATCACTCGAAAAATCTGTTTCCGTTAAATTTCATAACTCTAACCCTTCACCTTAACTCTAGTCCTCGCACAAAGTACCGGTCAGATACCAATCGCTGTCCACGTATGTGCTCATTTTGACAGAGTGCCAAACGCCTTTAATCGTTGTCCATCATTCTCATTTGTCGATCTCGAACTTTGGCTCGAAGATGCAGCAATATCGACCAACTACGCTGATGAAATCAGTTCATCGCCGAAACATCATTCAATCCCCTCAATTAGCGACCACGATGCAGCTCATTTATAATCATTAGTGCTGCGATGCCGACACATCCACAGCTCCGAGGAGGCATGCAGTGACTCACGGCGGTTGTTTGACAATAATAATAACTCCAACGTCACCAGTACCAAGCCCGGTTGAAAAAGGAGGAGGATTGGAAACCACGGCGAAGATTCCGCAAAAGTTCGCCACCTGTCACTCATGGTATTGACGTCATCGAAAATTATACCGGCTCCGTCGTCGCCCAGTTACCAAAGGCGGTGCAGCCAGTTCAAACACTGAGGCAGATTGAGAACAGTCGGCCATCAGAAACTGCTCATCGCCCTCTACCAGCCGGGATGTACCAAGAGAACAATGGCTAAAGATAGTCGATAGAACAACAACAAAGATGTCAGTCAGGAAAGGAATCCTCACTCGTTCTCAACAGAGGATGCAGACAGCGCGATGCCATCACTGCACGTCAGAAATGGCACAACGAGAACGGCACCACCAGGGGAGCTTAAGATCGGAAATGGCAGCATATTCTCTCTAAGAGGGAAAGAACAAGAATCAGAACATGTGGCCATATAATACCAACTCGAATTGCTGGGCTCTCGTCAACGAAACGCCAAGGCTCGGGACTCCTGAACCTCAACGGATGGAGGCTATTCTACTCAGGCACCGATATCACAACTCGCGCCCAGGCCGGTGTTAGTGTACTGGTAGAATCCAACCTCGCGGATAGAAATATTAATTGGAAGCCTGTCAGTGGAAGGATGACAATCCGCCGATTGAAGCTAAAGCAGGCTAAAGCGTTAGGATTGGTCAGGTCCATGCGACCAATTTCCAGAAAGAATATGATACCTTCCTTAAGGAAGTGCAGTTCCCTCGCTACGAACTGCCGATTACGTAGTCCCTCATGTTTATGGGCGATTTTAATGCGCACGTCGGAGTAGACGTTGAAAAGTGGAACGGCGTGATTGGGAAAAACG